GGCAGATGAGTGTTCAGAGTAGGAAAAAGAAACTTAAGAGAAATGCAGTGTAATGGAAGACAATGAGGAAGAGAGTTTGGGAAAAAAACAATGATCAACACGGTCAAATGTGGCTGAAAGGTCAATGAGGCTCAAGAATGAAGTAAGTTTTAACATAAACAATATCTACTGAGTAATACAGGCAGACAAGAATGTGGAGGGTTGGAGAGATCTGAAAAGAAAGGTTCAGAAAAGACTGTATGTAGATGATTTTAAATGGTCATTAAGAGAACAACAAACATATTAATGAAAAGATTCCAGGTCTTAAAGGAATACTTGAGGGGATATGAATTTGCACAAGGTTACCATCTTGGGGTGACCTCAGAAAAGGAAGATAGTTTTTGGGAAACTGAGAAATTCACTTTTAGACATTGTAAAGATTAATATATAAATATATTAATATCTAAAAAGCATGCAGACTGGGATACAAATTTGGGAGTTACCTACATAGAAATGACAACTGAAACCACCCCTATATATAGAGATATTTGTATGTCATAATTTCTTTCATTAAAAATGGATTATTTTTTCTTACAAAGAAATTATACCGTATCTGAAAATAGCTCCTATCTCTGTTATTAAGTGTGGACTCATTTTTGAGAATTTGAAAATCGCCCTATATTAATTTGAAGAGTAATCCTATTACAACCAAATGGCTATCAGAATCCTAAAATTACAATTAGTAAGAAGACATTCATGAAACTTGAAGGGATTTTCAATGGATGCTTGAGTACAGGAGCTGCTGAACCAATATTACGAAAAATTCTGCCACCCCTTGCCTCTCTGTATAAGAAGTCACTATCTGGGTAAAACAGAAACAAAACAAAACATACGCAGGGCTACTGTTCCACCAGTAGAGACATGAATGGCCACAACGGCTATTTAGGATTGATACCTGATCTAATTAGCTAAGTGGTTATGAAATATTTTAAATATAACTCCTGCTCATATTAAAAGATTATATTTACTGAGTTACTTATATATATATTTCAGTACTTCTTAAATTCTAAAGTGCATTTTATATATATCACTTTATCATTACAACAACCTTTCAGGACAAAAGGGAATCATTAGAGCCTTCACTTTAATAACGATTAACCTAAGGTACAGTTGCTGCGTATTTCTTTGTTATTTCCTGATGATGCTCAAATTCAAAGCTGCTTCTACCAGTAACAGTGACCCTGAACAAATTCACCTGAAAACTAAAAGACTTTTCACTTACAATACAGGATTGTTATTCTTATTGAAATAAAATTCTCATACCATTTGGTGATGCTGTAGCAGTCTTTAATGATATCCTGCAGGACAGCACGATAGAAAAGGGACTCAGAAGGCAGCTGAAAAAAAATGTAGAGATACGTGAGCACAAGAAACAAACAAAAGCAGAAATCAGATCAATCCCTGAGAGTCAAGACCATAAGTGAATGTTACAAAGCTGACTTTATTGCTAAACATAGGAGATAATTTTATAATTTTTCTAAATTAAAATGTACTGAGGCTAATTCTCATTGAGAAAGTAATTCTGCAAGAAAATAGAAGAAACTAGAAAAAAAGTAGTAGTGAATGAGGAAGAAAAGGCATAATTAAAGAAAAATTAGCTAATGTCCCAAATGCAGATAAAACATAAAAACATAGAAATAAGTTTTCACAACCAGCCAAGTCGGCTCTATACAAGAGAACAGATAGGTAGGATATGTGCAAACAAGAAGAGAATGTGGGTCTGCCCTAATGGTGATGGATTAGAGACAGTATTACCTGGGATTCACACCAGAGAGAGAAGGTACTACCCCAAGTAAGGACATACTAAAAAGAGGTCTGAGGCCTAACACAGCACTGCCTACTACAGAGTTGAAAAGAAGGGCTTTGGAGAGGACATGAGCTCAGAGACTGAAGCCTAGGCAAGGCTCCACTTCCTGGGGAAAAAAGAGGTGGGAAATGTCCATGAAGGTGCAGAAGTTTTTGAAAGGAAGGAAGGAATGGCTGAAGAGAAGGACTCGAATGAAGCATAACAGTTTCAAAGAAGTAGAAGGTGAAAAAGGGACTGTACAGAAAAGAGAGCTTCATTGTAGCAAATACAACTCCTTGACTTGAAATAAAATCTCTGACTTCTAAATCTTCCTTTCCTGAAGATTTCTCCAAAACATTTCATTCAGAATTTCCCCTCTCGGGATATATTTTTCATTTGACATCTTTCCATCTTAAGTAATTCTTTTCCATAATATCCCAAATCTCTGTTTTACCATCTGTCCCCCATGTCCCCCAAAATCCTATCAGTTCTCTCACAAAAATGCTGAAGTCTCTTTTCATATATTAACACTTACTTCTATATTATTCTATTGAAATTCAAGGTATTTTGGGAAATATATTATTACATGAAGTGCAATATTAGTATTATAAATGGCCTACAAAGTTCTTAACTTATTATTTGATTAGTTATAATAGATAGGAACTTTAATTTTATGGGAAATGCATGTGAAACTCCTAAAAATAGTCGAATTGTTATTTGAACTGAGAAAGCCTGGCTCTGATGTCCCTGTCGCAAACCATGATGTTATTTTGCCTCTCTGACACTTTGGCAGGGAAGGGGTGTCGTTAATCTTTTTATTACATACTTTCATTTAGGAAAGAAGAGAAAAAACTTCTAAAAATAAAGCTCTCCTTTTCCATGTCTTTGAGAAAAAATACATAAAATAAATTTAGAAATAAATGTGTATTTATATTGTACTGATTGTAGAAAGACCACAAAAAAAAAAGACCAAGAAATGTGTTTTAAGCAAGAGAACATACAAAAATGGAATGCAGAGAGGAATACAAACACAACAGAATAAAGCATCATTCCCAAGTTACCCTGAGTAAATAAGAGCTTTACAGCTGTTTCCTAAGACAAAGGAAAGAGAGCTATGAAGTGCTGTCGAATGCACACTCCTGGAATAATCAGGACTATCCATCCTGGTAAATACAGATGGAGGTAAGTGGGAAGGAAGTCAGCATCTCTCAAGCAGCCTGTGCCTGACTACTCCAGGAATAAACGAGACGTAACTCAAGAGTTTACTTTCTTTCCTTCACAAGTGATAGATCAATTTAACATTTTAATGCATTTTAAATGGGAGGGAGTAGAAAGAGTACAGCCTCAAAGTATATCTATTAGACACGCATTTTACAGGTCTAGTGAAGAGAGCACTAAGCTGGAAGTCAGAACTCTGCAACAAATTAACTGAGCTAGAACTCACTGTTAAACTGCTGTGTATCATATTCTTATGTAAGTTTAGGGAATATCCAACTCATAAGATAGACATAAACATAAGCTAACACTTGGGAAATTGTAAAACAGAGCACAAATGCATTGGGGCATTATTATGATAACAGCTCTTTCCTCTTTCAGACCCCTAAGGAAACATTAAGTTGATCTGCACTATGGTAGCTAAAAGCTTGGGCTCCAGAGTCAGAGATTCAAATCCCAGTGTTCACTACTTAATTTCCTCATGTGTATCATGGGGTATACTTCCTATCTCATAGGCTATGTTTGTGGTACTTTAACTGATGAAGAAAACTTTCAACAGTACTTTGGTAAGCACTGTGGTAAATTTAACTATTATTTTCATGATCATAACTATTAACCACGTATAACAGCAATAACAGTTGACAATTATTGAGTATTTACTATGTGACAATTACTGTTTTAAGCATTTTATATCTTTCAGTCACTGAATCCTTGCAAAACTCTAGGAGGAAAGTATTATTGTTACTTTTATTACTATTGCCATTATTAGTATTTTATAGATAAAGAAATTAAGCTATGGAGAAATCATGACACGTGTCCAAGGTCACTAAACCAGTAACTAATGAAGACAGGATACAATCCAGCAGTTTGAGACTAAAGCCTATACACTTAAACAATATGCTCCAAAGCCTTTAAAAAATCAATTTTTATTCATTTTTAGATTGTAACAATGGATACTTAAATATACACACACACACACAGTTCTTAATATGATGTCTGGCCCAAGTAAGCACTCTGTAAATGATACTTGTTGCTACTATTTTTAAAAATTCAAACTGACATATTAATGCTCTCTGAAAAGAAGCAAAAGAGAGATTTCTAAAATTTAGGTCCAACAAGAAAACTCAAATAAAAACTTTTTTTAAATCTCTAAAAAAACTTTATTAAACCTCTATTTAAAAAACTCTAAAATTCCTAATACGTTTCAGGAATCATAAAGTAGAGGACATGGCAATTACATGAATACCTGGGGGATATATTTAACATGTTTATATGTGGAAACCCATTTGGCTGTTGCAACTAATGACTAACGAAGTCAATAAAGAAAAAAGTTAAAAAACAACCAACTAAAATGTGTGTTTTGGACTATAGTTAAAAAATAAATTGAAGGCTATACCTTGTTTATCTTTTTTGAACTAAGCCCATAAAAGCCTACAGTCAGTGACCACATTCTTTAGAAATATTTATAGACTATTTAATGTAATATGAAGAAATGAGACAGCAGTACAGGAGTATACTGTGGAAGTTTTTCTAAAAGTTCAATATACTTTTCCTGAAAGCTCATTTCCCTTTTAAAAGTAAACTTACAGAAAATGTATAAATTTGAATATGAAGAAGTGACAAGAAGAGGTGATATTTATTAAAATACATCAGGTTTTAAGTTCATCAGCAGGTCAAGTATGAAGAGTACTTTGGGAATAACTATCACATTCATCAACTGGATTAGAGTAAACACTCTTACTTACCCCTTGGCCAACTGCAACGCGTTCCAATGCCTTTAAGGAGGAAAAAAATAAGACAAAGACTGCTGATATATTTAGTCTTATCTTATAAGACTTATAAACACACTATATAAGGGCTTATAAAAGTGACATTTAAAAAGATAAATTAAGTGACAACATATAAGTTTATATACTTAAAAGTGTTAATATCATTAAGGAATGTTAACTGGTCCACTTGTATAATTTAGGACTGATGTATGGGTATGTGTCATATACACACCCCAACTCTACATACTCCTTGAGTTTTAGAAGGAATTAGAAAATACGAAAGAAACAAAATGATACATTCTTGGCTCACTTTTATTGTAGCTAAAATAATCAAATAAATCCAAAGTTATTACTGTGTATATATACATATAAATGTATTTATATACTATTTTTAACCTATTTTCTTCCAATTTTTAATAAATATAATTTCATCTTTTATTAAACAAGATTATATTGAACACATTATAGTTGAAAGTTTAGAAAATTACTTATATTTTTGGTCTGTATGGTCTGCATTTTTGTTTCGTGGATATAGTATGCCTTTATTTCTAAGGATTTTATTTATTTTATTTTATTTTATTTTATCTTATCTTATCTTATTTTATTTTATTTTATTTTGGAGAGTACCCATTTCCTCCAAGTTGCTTCTTTTCTATTTGTTTATCTGATCTCTATTCTTCCATGTTAGACTTCCTTAGACAACTAGTGGTTCTTGGCTGTCTGCTGACAATTAAAATGTGGGTATCATAAATGCAACTGGAAACATTGTGCTTATGAGTGAAGACTATTAATTGTGGGCCTCACCACAAAAGTCCTGTTTCATTGTGAAATCCCTCACGCCAATATCTTTAGTCTTTTCTCTTAGGTTAGTCAGATTCCCTACAAAAGACTATTTCGATTTCTTGCCTAGGGTGTATAAACTGCCAGCAATCTGAGAACAAAGTCATTCCAAGAATGACCTGCCATTCTAACAAGATCCTAAACAAGTATCATTTACAAATAAATAAAAGAACAAGGCAAATTCCCAGAAAAGCATTTAAGAGGACTTACAAAAGGGAATCATTGTTTGTGCATAAGTAGATTTCTAAGTTAATTCTCAGATACATGACCGAGAATACTGGCACACTATTTTTTATATTGCTGTGTTACTGGCATAGAAATGATGGACCCATAATTAATCTTGGTGTTGGACATTAAAGACACCATTTTAAAAACTCTATTTTAAATTAATGATGACAAAAGTCCATTCACCTCCTTTAACTTGAACCTGCTCCTTTTTAAACCAACGGAGAAGACCATGGGCTAAACTGTTCTAGATCTAAGGAGACTAACTTAATCAGGCGCTTTATATAAAGGTGCACTAAATAGCTAATTCATATCCCAGGTAGCTTAATAATATTTTTCCTATTTTATAAAAAAACAGGAAACCAAATGATCTGCTACAAACACACACAAACATACCATAGAGCTGTGGATAAAGCACTAAAGTAATTCTTTGTTTAAGATGTGGCTGTTGGTACATTTTATATGATAATTAAAGTAATTATATGTAAGAAGTTAAGTAGTATAATGTAGAATTATAGTATGACTATAAATTGTTACCACAGTGCATATAGAGTGAATGATGTTGGAAGGGCAAGTCATTTTTGCCTCATACTTTGCAATGCACAAAAGCATTAATGAGCTCTAAAAAATTTGGCATTTAATACAGCCAAAAAAATAAATAAATAAATTCTGCAACATCTGGATAAAACTCTCAGTCTAGAAGAAAAATAGTAATAATCGTACCAAACATGCTGACATTCTGGCATTACGACCACAGAACCATCTCTCTTCCTTTAAATAGTGGCACATTGGAAATCCCCACTTTTCTTGGGTATATTCTGCAGATGCGGAAAAAATATGGATTATTTAAATAAAATTCTTCCTTTTTTAGATAAAGTAAATAATATATTGAGAAAGCAAATCAGTCACTGAGAAAGTCAAACAGTAGTTAAACATGGAAATGGTAATGTTTAATAGTTCATTCTCATATGCTAATTGAAAGCATATTAATATTATGAAAATGGTATTTTCTCAAAAACAGCTGCTTTGTATTTAAGCTCCAGGTGTGATAGCAACCAACTTGCCAAAATTATTTCTCAAAGACTTAGCGAAAGCAATTTAAAATGGAAATACTTTTCATATTCAGTGTAACTACAGCAGGTAGGTAATGAGATATTGGACATTTACTGTTGACCTGATTTTCTAATAAAATGATTTATTAAATGTGACATTTGGCAGTTTATAATAGAACAATATTAATTTCATTCCTAACAATGTTGAAGCATCAATTTTTTTCCCACGATGTTCACTTTTCAGAAAAAGAACAGCTGTGTGGGCTTTTCTTTCTTCGTTATATTAACAGGCTGTAATATTTTCAACTGTGATTCAATTTGGCTCAGATGCATTTATGGCTCAAGTATCAGTAACAAACAAAAGCAACATTCATTGCTTAATCACACATACCTTCTGCTCAACTCACTTACAGATTTACACATGTAATTCGCTGATTTTTAACCCTTTAAGTACAACTATTAATTTACACAGGGTTTTTGAAAAGGGAAAATAATTCTAATTTTCTATTATAAAATTATGATTTAATTTTATTAATTAATTTTAATATACAATTAAAATTTAATATAGAATTATTAAAATTAGAAAATTCTGTTCTAATATTAAATCAAAGCCTGGAAAATAAGAGCTTAAGTTTAATCAAAACTCTGACAATTAAATATAAATATAAATATAAATTTTCTATTTGGTTAAAAAGTAAAGCAGAACTCAAAAACAAGAAAATGCTTCAAAAGAAAATATCGCTGAGGTAGATTCCACTAAATAAACTTCTGTGCTATGAAAGATCAGATGACTTGATTAAAATAGAGAAAATTTAAATTTTGTGCAGATAAAAGCCTGTGATAGTGATTTCTTTCAGGTATTAAATTAAGATTTATAACATCTTACTGATAATCAGATGGAGGATATGGACCTTGTCCCAGGTATATAAATAATAATAATGCTAGTATTTATATAGCACTTAATATTTTAGGCACTATTATAAATGCCTTAAATATATTAACTAGCTTTAAATGTTAACAGCTTTAAATTCATTAACTAGTCCCCACAGCAATGGTATACCTATTGTATACTATTATTCTCATGTTTCAGATAGAGAAACTGAGCACAGGGAAGTTAAGAAAACTGCCTAAGTTGCAAATCCCTCACATGGCTGAGCTGGAATTTAAGCCCAGGCAGTCTGACTCCAGAGGCCATGTTCTTAACCACCAGGCTACATAAACAAGTTCACCTAAAACTGCACGGGAATCAGGGAGCCTGCAGTCCTGGTAAACTGCTGTTGCCTCTGACTGTTCTTATCTAAAGTATGTTAGCTTTTGGACTTTTATAACTGCTTCCTAACTAGTCTCTCTGTCTCTGATCAAGCTCCATGCCAACCTATCTTCTATTATGCCAAAAATACTATTTTTCAGAAATGTAAGTGAAATGTATGCAACTCTTTTGCATTAAACACTCAAAAATATTTTTCATGGAACAAAGTATACTTTGTCTTCCACTAAATAATACTCAGGTCTCAGTACAGCACTCATGGCTGTCATAATCCGGTCCTAATTTGTTTCTTCAGTCATGCTTTCTTATTTTTAAGAAAAGTTTATTATTTATTTTTATTGTTCATTTTTCATATTTTCACCCTCACGCCCAACTTAGTCTCTGCCATATATCCATGTGGACTTGCCTTACTCAGAACAAACAGTTTCTGCCTCTTTGCCTCTTGTCCACAAAGTTTTTCAAAGTGTCCTTCCCTAACTCATTTATCTTTTTGAATGAGGATCAAATGTCATCTTTTTCAGAAAGCTTTCCTTTATCCCTCAGTTATTAAAAATTATTCTCTCTTTTAGCCTTAATAGCATTTGGTTTATACATCCATCACTCATTGCTTCTTTCATTCTTTTTTTCAATAATTCATATTCATGGTTGGTTAAGATCTATAGGTCATGAATATATCATTCTCAGACATGCATGAAAGTTCTGTGTAACTGCTTCTGAATTCCTCACTAGATCATGAGCTCCCTAAGGGGACAGAGAGTACCTCACTTACCTTACATCCTCAGTGCCTACTATAGAACTATGTCGTATTGAATCAACATGTCCTCATTCTATTTTGAAAATATATGCTTTAAAAATTTATTTAGCCATAAATGAAACATGATATACAATTTTATCTAGGAAAAATAAACAGTTATTATGCCATAGAGACACAAATTTTTATCACCTGAGTTAATAATCTCAACTTATATTACACCTTCATATATAGAGGGTTTTAGAATATCTTATTTAAAACCACAATGACCGTTATTGAAAGACAGGCAAAAAAGATAGGAAAATATATACATAAAGTAAGTGATTTTTGAAAAGTTTTATTTTTATCTTCACATTCCTCCCCTGTTCAGTTTTTCTCCTGCTTATAACCTGACGTTATATATCTATTTATTTACTTTTTTATTACTTGATGCCTTCTTATAAGAATGTAAGTCTAGTGAGGACAGGGGCTTTGTTTCGGTCAATCATGTATCCCTGTGCCCTAGAATAGCGACTAGCATGTGTCAGGTACCCAATAAATATTTCTTATATGAAGGGGAAAAAAAATCCCAAAATTACTAGGAATAAATCAAACTAAAACTGGGCAAGATTAACATAAATACCTCAAACAACAACCAAATAAATAAAGAGATAATTTATGTTACAAAGAGGAAAAACATATCATAAAGACATAATTTCTCCCCATAATTATCTTTAAGTTTAATGCATGTCAATTAAAATCCCAACAGGTTTTTTAATGGATTTTAAAAATCTGATTCTAAAACCCATCTGACACACAAATCATCAAAATCAGCTTTTACTGAATTTGGTCAACAATGTTTATTATGATACAAACATTATTAAGAAAATGAGATAACTTAAAAATCATTCTTCTTAAGTATAAAACGTTTTGCAATTTTCATATGAATTTGCATTGTAATGTACACTTTAATCCCAAAAGAAAGAGTCAAACTTTTCTACCTAAACTTATTAAATGGTTGATGTGATCAGCATTTCAATTCTCTTACCAGATCTCTGGATAAATAAAATATTCCATCTTCAAATTTTAAAATGGTTCTAAATTGTTGATATTAAATAAGCACTTTAATATTAATTATCTCCTTTCCTGAAAGATGGCCTGTGCCTTCCACAGTAGACACATGATAAAGAGCTCTAGCAAAATATGAAACAGAAGCCTTATTGCTTGACTTTCCCATCTGGCATTGTTCACCGTGTAGTACTGTTCACACTAAATGTCCTGGCTTCCATTCCATCAGCAGAAATACCTGCTCAACCATAAAGAGTAACATTTTCCTAGCATCAACAAGATAACTCCTTAAAAGATAACATTCTTTTTTGATCTTGTAAGGGGCCAGATTACCCATAGATCTGGATTGTGTAAACTGCCCATAATATGTCACTTAATGTACAGCCCCATCTCAAAAAAGTTACATTACTGTGCTTTGACTTCTAATGGGCGGAAGAGTTGTTGGAGCTCTCTGAGATGCTCTTCCTGGGTTATAATCAATAAAAGTGTCCTGGCTCGAATAAAATTTTCCATTTCTTTCTTGGATAGACTGATTGATTTTTCATTGACACTCTTCAGCAGTAATAATGAATATAAATAAACTAAGGAATATAATAAACTGAAGAATTCAAAACAGTACAACGAGAAGAGGAATAACTAGATAATTTAAAAGTAGGCCAATTCTAAAAACTGATCTACTCTCTTAAAATGATTGGAATAAATATCGGTATAAAAATTTGGTAATTTAAAAATATAAAATTTATGTGTAGTTCTCAATAAAGATTCAAGTTGTAAAGCAGGTACAGAGAGATCCTAGAATTCAAGACTTTTAAAGAAAATCACAGCAGGATAATCACATGTTCACATAAATTAACTGATTCTATAATATGAGGGAACATACTGATCCTCTCTGCCTTCACCAGAAAGTATCCTCAATTAAAGTCACTGAGATATATATCCCATGCATGGTCTTTTGCTTCAGAGAATACTCTAAAGGAGCATAGCTGGTTAGCCAAAGGTAAAAGAGTAACTTATTATTTCTCATTTGTTTCTCTCTAGACAACACCAGGCATAGCCCTATTTATATCATTTTTTTTCTGCTTCTCATCTCTACTTGTGGCTCCATTATGTAACCAATGTATTAATATTTCACTTACCCTTTGGTTAAAAGTGAAGCTGGAAGTATAATCTCAAGGGAATATATAAACTACAGTATATATAGAAAAGAAAATAAAAACCCAGTTACAAATGCATATATTGCTTTAATAGAATTGTACCTACATTCAAACACTGTTTCTGAATGAATCAGTCTGGATACTACTGTCTTGGTATTTTTATGCATGACTATAAGAATAGCAAGTTCAGGTACTGAGAGAAAAACACTGCGTTGGTCTGGCAAACACTGTGACAGCAGCCCCCCAATGGTGCTCCTCACTGTGCATGGCAAATTTTCTCTGCTGCTCTCGATCCACCCTTTATAGTCAAGACTGGAGTCTTGATAAAAGAGTTTACAACTGAGACACATGGAATATCTGAAACATTAAGTCAATGAGACAATCTTTACACTAATATTATAAAGCATGTTGCAACTTCATTCCTATGAAAATTTTGCTCCTTTTGCCAGGCTGATGGTGAAGATAACTTAGATAATTTGCTTATAATGTATTTACCATGGGGAAAAAGAAATGTGAGAATACAATATTTATAGCAACATAATTTTCA